CGGAATGGCCATTTCTGGCTTATTAGCCGTCATCAGCCAGTCATACCCAACCCCAAGTGTGGATCACTTGAGATTCGAACCCGCTACAACCGTCCCCAACGCGTCCCCCCTCCTGAGCACTGTCGATCTTCGCCCTTTGTGACGGACGGTCTGTCACGCATGAGTCGTAAACACTGTTGTTGGGATAATTGTTGGGTAATCTCCCTCCCCGGTGTCGTCTGCCCCGGCGCCTCCTGAGACTACTCGTCCCGCTCAGGCAGAGCTGATGGCGGCCCCTCGGTCTCTTCACTAACTCTGGGCAGTAACTCGCGACTACTGTTGGTCGCCTTCTGAGAAGACTCGGACCTACTCCAACTTGAGTATGTGACGTTGTTGTGTTGAAAAGACCGTGGCCTGTGTTTCAATGTCAATATTCCTCATTTCCCAGAATGTCCCGTAATCCACCACCAGAGCGCTTTGGATAAGTGCATTCATAACACGTATTAAGAGAACCTGGTGATGCTTGAGCGAAAGACGTCTCGGAGCCGGGGCAGAGATCTAGGCAACTGCCCCAGTAGAGGCCGTCGGCAGGACTGATTCTACACACGGGCGACACGTATCGCCCTTGAGGGTTACTGATACAAACGTGTACAATTCTGAAGCTCTCTACCGAAACTAATACACGTACAATGCAACAGCAAGACGAAGGGTATGTACAGTAGATGTGCTAACTCATTAAATGTCAACCACAATTTCGAAATGCATTTTCGTTTCGAAAAGATAAATTAAGTAGTGCTGTAAAACTAATCATGATGCAGCATAAATCTATAATGCACCAGTTACCTCAGGGTGTCGGCTTTCGAAAGAACTTATTCTCGGCTGCATGCAAGATCTGTACTCTGCAAAAAATGACTACTTAAGTAGTATGCAATTTTCTCATTGATTTTCGATGCCCCTGAAAAGTCAATCATATGATGGAAAACATGCAGAAAGATATTGATTCTTTTACTTATTCGGTAGAAAATCACGTCTTCTTCCAGTTTCATACTCAAAAGAAGAGTATAATTCGGTTTTAAAAAAGTTTCTAATTGTGAGATATTTTAATACCGTTAAATGGCCATTCATGAAACGTCATGTATCTGCATTTACGAATGTGGCTTGTAAAGTTAACAATATTACTCAAATCCACTGCTTAATTTTATGAACCTCATATAGCCTCCTCTTAACACTGTAGAGACATGCATGATTTTCCGTACACGGAAAATATACAGCTGGTAGTTTTGAAACCCTGAATGCAAGTGTAACAGCAGGTCGGGTTCAAAACTATTCGGGAATTAGAAAAGTTTTTTAAAACCGAATCATACTCGTATTTTGAGTATGAAATTGGAAGAAGACGTGATTTTTTACCGAATAAGTAAAAGAATGAATACCTTTGTCTTTGTCTTCCATGAAATATAATTGAATTTTCAAGGGCATCGAAAATCAATGAGAAAATTGCATGCTACTTAAGTAGCCATTTTTTGCATAGTACAGATCTTGCATGCAGCCGAGAATAAGTTCTTTCGAAAGCCGACACCCTGAGGCAACTGGATCATTATAGATTTATGCTGAATCATGATTAGTTTTACAGCACTACTTAATTTATCTTTTTGAAACGAGAACGCATTTCGAAATTTTGGTTGACATTTAATGAGTTAGCACATCTACTGTATGTCAGAAGGGGTATATTCAAGACCTGGCGTCCGCAACGTCAAACTCGACTGCCAATCCCGAGAGTTACGTCCCCTCGAGCGACTGCGGGTTGGCGTCATGTGCGTTAATAGACACTACATATAAGCCCAGTCCCATTTCAGTGCAGCTAGGAAGAATAAGACAGCTGCAGAGGGCGCTGCTGTCGACTCAGTTAATCGTCCCGACGAGTTTCCTGCGGTCTACGCGATTCTACGAGACGACCTATCGGGTGCCCACGCCTGCACAGAAGCCGCGCGATACTCAAAATCGTCAGTGCTTTCAGCCTAGAACAAAATGGCAACCAGGGACGCATGACTCAACCGGGGAGACACGGGCCACGGTGTAGACAATGAAGGCAGCAATATAAGCAGCACAAATGGCGCAAGCAACCCACATATGCTGTACGACTCTCTCGGTATCCGCATTCATTGTTCGCGACTTCCAACCTGGTCAATACTGTCTCTTATTCTGTGGCAGCCGATGTCGTGTCCACATTACCGCCCAAAATTTTGAGATTCATGCAAAGTTCCGGACAACAGCATGAGCATCGACTGGCGATCCAAATTTACCATCTCAGGTCAAACAATATTAACATGCAAAAATGGGGTTGGACACCAATAAAAACCCCACGAGTTCAAGACCGTGCTGAGGACGTATAGGGACAGCTGAGGTAGACACTTAGGTCACGATGCAAACGCGGTCAACCAGCACAGCAAGTTTGTCATAACTTATCCCCTTTTGACTCCACATGCTCGCGAACCAAATGGATCGGAACCGCTTAAGGCTTGGATGACATTTGAGTCCCAACATCAGAACTATCCGGACGGACTGCTTTACTCCACATCCATCCCTGGAACCGGCGATTAACCCAACAGACAGAACGCGGGTAAATGGTGTCACAAAATAACCTCTAGGATGAAGTTGTTGGGATAAACACCCCACCCCAGCTAATTGCGATCTGCCTAACCGTGTGACACGACGTTGCGATACGCCCGATCCATACTGTCGCAGGATCCGGAAAAAAACCCGGACCAGGGACCTCTGGACCAGGAACGTATAGTAACGTGCTGCCCTCGGGTACGTTTGACAAGGCCACAAACACCACTTTGGGCGCGCTAGACCCACTCTTCGCCGACAGCCTGACAAGCAACCAGTCAGAAGCAGCAAGGCAGTCTCCAAAATCTGTGCTCGCATAGTTCACAGGGGCCCAGTTAATGTTCGCTTAAAGATGCAAAGGATGCGGGCGGGACAATGACTCAGGCGGCAAGGAAACGTGGTTGCTGTTGACTAGGGCAGGACAGACAGCGTGGTGCGGAGCATGCGGAGAAATGAAGTTCAAACGCAGTGTTGATTCCCACTCCGTAACGATCTGGCAATCACCAATATTCTGTCCAAAGTCCGCCTTCTTGTCCCCCAATTTGTGCTCAGCTATTACCAAAGCTGGTGACCTTCAGTCGCCAGGCTTTAAAGTCGGTTTTGCGGACTGTTCTTACGAGGTGTCGATTCCGAGAAAATATGTACCAGAAGTCGACTAGCGCCTTAAAGGAAGTGACAATTAACCAATGTGATCTCCCTATGGTGCAAGGACGACAGCACCTTCCCTTACAACCACAAAACTGCACCTAACCGCAAGATGCTGTCGGTTAACTAGAGCGAATATCAGACAGGATTCCGACGTCGGGTTGAACAGTATTCAATAAATGAAAATCGTCCGCGCTGAGGCCCAAACCAACTGTAAATTGATTCCTTAAGCGGCCAGATAGGCATTCGGAGAAGATAATCCGAAAAGACGGGGTGAAAAACTGAAAGCTACTCAAATTAATCTTTATACAAAAAAACCAACAAAGTGTCAAAAGCGTTTTCTCTTTCCACCCTTTCGTCCAGACTTCTTGGGCCGTTTTTTATGTTTGTTCTTTTTCTAAAACAAAGTGTAATTAGCTTACGGAATGCGATACCTTTGGAAAAGGAGCTCGTAGGTCAGTCTCCTCGTCGGACTGCAAAGAAAAGGGTAAAACGCGAAAATTAGAAATAACTGTTGATTAAGTAATTAAAATGAAAGCTATTGCAAAAAATGGTTCCCAGCACGAGGCGAGTGAGAGCAAATCGGAGAAGATGCCAGTTGCCTGAAAGGCAGCAAAATCTGCATCCAGCACCCAGTCAGAGTTATAGATTTCCCAATACCGCGGTTCGGGGATTGGCGCGGTGGTCGGCGGAGTTCGCAATTATCAGATAGGTTGGCGAAATTTCCTCCACTCCTAGGGAGGCGCAGAGTGCCTATGTGGTGTCAACAGTTCTGATTTGTGATGTTGTGTCAATTTCTACAACGCGTGACTTCCACAGACGAGCAGAAGATTCGACGACCTGTACAGAAGGCAGTCTGCCTCTGCCGTCAACAACGAGAAACACCAATGGCCCCAAGAGGACACAGTGGTAACTTATGTGTGTGGATACGTTTTCAATAAAGGGCACTTTTATGGCATCAGTCTCACGCCAACTGTGTTCTGGCGGCAGATGGGGAGGTGGCTCACGCGGCTGCCGCATACGACCTGGACCCGAGCAACGCATGAATCAGGTTTCAGATCTCGCATAAACGAACACCATAACGGCCACATTTGCAGTGGGTGACCGATCTCATGAAATGTTGGCTGAAATTCTCAAATGCGCTTTCGATTAGGAAGGATTACTTAGGCGCGGTTGTAATACTGATTATCTTATGGCATAATCCTATAACATTTCGGGCTCGGCAGGATGTCAGCTTTTGAATACACTGCTTTTCAATCTCCTGTAGAAACCGTATTCGGTAAAAAATGTACTACTTAAGTAGCATGCATTTCCCCCATTGATATTCGGTGGTCATGCAAATTAAAATATATTTTAGAGAAAGCACGGAGAAAAATATGTTTTCCTTCAGCCGTTTGATAGAGAATCACGCCATCTTTATATTTCATACTCGAAGAAGGAGTATAAGAGTATAAAAGAGTTTCCTAATTGCCGAAAAATTTGGAGCCTGATCATTCGTTGCACTAGCGATTGGTGATTTCAGTCTACAAGGTGCATGCCTTCCGCGTAAAGAAAATCGTACACTCTTCCAGGCCTTTAAAAAGATATCATATAGAGTTCATAAAATTGTTCAGTGGATGCGGACTATGCTGCACATTTCATGAGGAGCAGTGGCAAACGTATAGGTACGACGCCGTATGAATGGACATTGCACGGTTTTAAAAAATCTCATAATTAGAAACTTTTTTAAAACCTAATTATACTCCTTCCTTGAGTATGAAATATAAAGAAGACGTGATTCTCTATCAGACGACTGAATGAAAGCGTATTTTCGTTTATGGCTTCTATAAGATATATTTGAATTTGCATGACCACCGAATATCAATGGGGAAAATGCATGCTACTTAAGTAGTCATTTTTTACCCAGTACGGTTTCTACAGGAGATTGGAAGGCAGTGTATTTAAAAGCTGACATCCTGTCGGGTCCGAGATAGTATAGGATTATGCCACAAGATAATCAGTATTACAACCGCGCCTAAGTAATCCTTCCTAACCGAAAACGCGTTTCAGAATTTCAGCCAACGTTTCATGAGATCGGTCACTCACTGTAGGAACCATTGCCTGTGACAGTCCGACAGAAGGCAGTTTGCCTCTGCCGTCAACAACGAGAAACACCAATGTCCCCAAGAGGACACAGTGGTAACTTATGTGTGTGGATGTGTTTTCAATGAAGGACACTTTTATGGCATCAGTCTCACGCCAACTGTGTTCTGGCGGCAGATGGAGAGGTGGCTCACGCGGCTGCCGCATACGACCTGGACCCGAACCAGGTTCCAGGAACCATTGCCTGTGACAGTCCAGCGGGCCGAGACGCTGTCTCCGACAGTTCAGTCACTTTCCACCGAGTGAGCAAATTTGTCATGGCAAACCTTAGATAACAAGTACGCGGTCCCAGAGGTCCAAGTTACACATCATCCCTCACTCTAAATTAGTGGTCGAGCCTTACTTTCGAAGTTAAAATGCGTTCACACGGCATCACGTTTTTTGGATAAGAAAAAAGGCTTCAAAAGGATGAACAAACTCTGAGTTGAGCTCATCTCAGAAAGAAACAATATGACTATGCAAAAATATGAAAAGCCAATTACATGTGTTATTGTACTTTGTTAGGTTACCTCATTCATTCGAGGCGAACAAAATTTCACCTTATCCCAGTAAGGAATCTTTTCCTATCTCTAATATATCTCAGAGTTTAAAATCGTTGCCCATAGCAATACGCCTTGGTGAGCTGTAGAGGAGTGGAGATGTGTCCTTCTCCTACCCCTGAGTAACTGAATTTTAAAATGAACCTGCGCCATTCAGGTAGACACCCTATCGAAAGGTTCATGTTCAGAGGCGGTTTTTCGAATGTCAAATAGTTGCATAAAGATCTGCACAGACAACGACTATCCCCAGTGATGATGACTGAACTCAGCAAATTCCAGCCGCTTTCGCACATTCACATTTAGGAACCATTGCCTGTGACAGTCCGGCGGGCCGAGACACTGTATCCGACAGTTCAGTCACTTTCCACCGAGTGAGCAAATTTGTCATGGCAAACCTTAGATAACAAGTACGCGGTCCCAGAGGTCCACGTTACACATCATCCCAACACCCAACACTGGTGATAAAACTAGGGCAATAAACGACTTGAATGCCGTCCATCAAAGAATTATCCCACCAAGGGCAACTATCTTCGACAAAGGAGAGAGACGTTAATTGTTATAGGTACCACAGCGACTGAACCCTACAAATACTACGACCCCTTGTGTATAAATTGGTCGCATCTAATGCCGCCTTTGATGATGACTTCGAGCATGAATCCAAAACGTCCGACTAATAAAGTTCTTGTTTCAGTGATCGTGTCTATTTCTCAATTTCTTGAACTCGTATTTTCATGGATATTCCCGATCCTACCTTCGGAAAGGTGTCCAGCCTGAACGAAAGCGAGGGTGGTGATTCGCAAATATCCCGCTGCAACGTTGTCATCGATATTCATTGTGTCTTTCTGAACACGGGTATTAAAGCAGTATTAAAATAATTAATTCAGAAGAACAGAACGACTAGGCGCAAGAGGAACTGAATTTCGAA